CAAGTCGTGACATCTCCTTGATTTTTTCCTAATTTAATCTTCTTTTTTAACTTTTTCTGACAAAAAAATAAGCCTTTTTTATAAAACTGCAGAAAACCTTTAGTGGCAACAGTTTCGCCAGCAATGGTTGTCATGGATCAGAACAGTTGCAATTGCGTGATTATACTTTGCAACTCTATTTTCTGCTTTATTAACGTTTTTGAAAGCTACAGTTGTGCTCGTAGATTTTGTTTTGCTATAATATTAAACTGACTCTTGAATACTTGCTAATATACAGGTTTTAATTTTTGAACTCTTTTAATTTACAAATTTATTAAGAAGAGGACTTTTGGTATCCTTAAAGAAAGCATACTTTCTGCTTTTTTGTCGCTTTAAACTGCCATTTTGTTTTGGGCTTCTGATTTTTTTAAAGTTTTTTTTCAGTCTAAAAGTATAATTTTCTGGCGTATTTTATCACTGTAAAAAGAAAGAGAGTGATGTTCACAAAGTTTTTTTGAGACTCTTCTGTGAAAGAATGAACCGCACAAGGCTTGATTTGCGGAATTTACATTAGACGTTAATTTTTTCAAGAGTCGCCACCTTTGGAGAGACCATCTCAGTTTTACAACCGAAATTTGAAAGCTATTTTTAAAGCTTGTTTGAAAAGAACTGCTTTTAGAATGACCTCGGAAAGTCGGCTTTTACACATTAAAAGGAAAAAGAAAAACCTGGAAAGACAATCATTTCTCAGCGTTATCAAATTGCAGCTGACGTCGTACTTCTTCTCAATTCAAAACTCGGTCTTTTTAGTATGGGCTCTTAAATTTGGTGAAAAACAGTTAGTGAAAAAACATAAAGAGAAGAAGAGTCAGGTGCCAGTCACTTTTTAGTTCGGTAAACAGATTAAGACAACAGTCATGTCTCAATAAAAAATTTTTACAGAAATCAACACAGACTTTCCCTAAATACTTTGATTTACTAGTGTAAAAAATTTACCGCTCAGAAGCAAGAAATACAAACAAAAAATTTCTAATTAGGCTCTCAAGGACAAAGAAGGCACTGTTACTGCTTGTTATCATCAGACGTCCTATTCTGAATGTCTTGAAAAAAAGGTTGAGAAACTCAACTATAAAAATTTTCATCTACTTTACACTTCAAAATGTCTTCTATTAGGAACTTATTATTATTTTAAAAATTTTTTGTTTGTTACCAGTGAGGAAAAACTGCATAATTCAGAGCATGTAAAAACTGCTTGAAGTTTTGAAATTTCTAAAGTTAGTATAACAATGACATCTTGTTACGACTGTACACTTACTTTATTTCTTAGACTTATTTTAATAAATGATTTAAACAGAAAGTAAAGTTTTGGTTTGTTAGAGTAATCCAGCAAAAATAAGCAAAATTTTGTGAACAAACCTGACAATTTTAGAGCACCTGTACTGAGATGTCTGACACTGACATAACAATAGCAAATTTATAACAACATAGAAGTAAATTTCACCGAATATAAAACCTTAAGTAGAAACTAAAAAGAAAATTGTTTTAATCTTCTAATAGCGAAAAAAAGTTGACATTAAAAGCTGTAGATTTGTGCTCTTCTTTCTCTCTTTTACTGCAAGTTATAACCAAAGTAAAAAACTGAAAACACAGAGTCGGGACGCTCGATTATTTGAACTGTATCAAAGCAAACGGTTTTCTTCACCAAAACAGAAGTTATTGCTATCCGTATTCTTGTTTTTGTTGACCAACAGATTTAAGTCCTCAGAGTTACCAACCCTTCAGACGTCGATCAAAGTGTCACTGCAAAACACCAATTTGTCTTGATGCGTTAAACAATTAATTTTTAAACGATCTACCACATGAACAATTTTTTTCATCTTTCACAGTTCCAACAAAAATCCTTTTTTTTTTTCTTCGTTATAGCAGAATGAGGTTTAAGAATAGAAATTATAAGCTAAAAAAAATAAGCAGGTAAAAAAGAACTAAACTTTTTTGTTTAATAACAGCATATTGTGAAATTTAAATTTGGCTTACTTTTATAGTTTCTGTTCAGTTATCAACAGGTATCGTTACATCGTTTTGATGACAAAGCAATATACTTTTTGTAAATTTCTGAGCATTTTACGCTCAAATAGTTTTTGCTAGTCAACGTCAGGCTGTTTTCTACTATGCCTTTTTTTTTGGTTTGTAGTCTTTTATATCATTTTTTTAGATACATATCAGACAGAAAAAACAAAAATTTTTTTTTTATTAGTGTACTCAATTCAAAAAAATCTCTTTTGCTTGTTTTGTCTTATTCTGACTTAGTCTGATAAGCATTAGTTTTCGTGCTTTAATTCGCACAATCCTGTAAGCTATAAAGCTTATATACCAATGTTAGCTGTCGCCGGAGACTTCAACTCTCAGGTAACCCAAAACTTTCCTGTACTGAATGATATAAGTGCTATTATTGTTTTTGCTACAGCAAATACGTAACTGTTTTATTAGTGTAAACCGTATATCTATTAAAAAAGAGACGCTAAGAAAACCAAATTTGTACATGTTTAAATAGAGTTAATCTGAAAAAAAAGAGAATTTTTTGTGTTAAGAGTTGTTCAAATTTTATTTGGTTTTTTGAAGTTTTGCAATTCACGAGAGCTGAAAAAGTCAAAATAATTAAACTCTAAACTTTATGTTTTTTTATGCTGCTAAATGAATAAAAACAGAAGATAAAGTTGAAAAGATAGTTTTCC